ATATATACGGGTTAGAGTTCCCTCACACTCACAGTCACACTGTACAGTACAACCATATCCGTTCATTCAATGGTTTTTTTTTCAACATGCGTGTTTTCTTAGATCCTGATGCTTCAAATGATTTCAACCACCTGCAATTTATAAGTGATTTCCGGCAGATTAATGACAAAAAGTACGGTATGTGCATAGTTTATTTACGCAAATCGGTGTTTCTTGGTATCGCCAACCACAACACCGCCCATTTCAGTTTCACGTAAATTTACCCAGCCTGATGTACGCACCCCTATAAAAACTCAAACATAAAAGCAGAAATACTGAAGAGCAAATATTGGTATTTTGTTTTTAGGTTGCACAGCAGAAGAGATGGCGGAGCTGACCGGGACCGGCTGGCTCAATACTGGCCATATCGTCTGGCTGCTGGACCAGGTAAATGAGGCCCAAGACACCACCTTGTGCCAGTGCCTCTGTGCCTCCAACCCAGACCTGTTCCGGAGGATGGTCCAGGGATGGAACCTCGACCAGCTGCAGCAACTGGTGTTTGTGGCCAATGTTGGCAAAACACCTAATGAGGTATATTTTGCTACACCTAAGAGGCCAGGGAACCACTGGGTGCTGATCACCATGGACTTGTCTGACCGCCCTGTGGTCAAATACTGCGATAGTTTAGCGTGGGGTCCTCCCCGTGACCTGCTGCAGTACTTGTCGACGTACACACAGGTCCTTGGCCTTTTCTTGAATGAGGTAATTGTCAATGATATGCATGTACCACTAGGTTATAACCACACCTGCAGGCCCAACTGTAATAACTACCCTCTTCAGACATGTAGTGATGTCTGCGGTGTAGTGGCGGTTGTTTGTGCAATTGTTGCTGCTCTGGACAACCACCTGTTCCAAGAACTAACAGGACCTCGCTCGGGACTAAGACGGTTCCTTCATGAACCAACCAGATACCAGCACTACCTTAGGAGAGTGCTGATGTGTTGGTTCATGGATGGTGCCATTGACATTGCTTTCTTACAAACCCTGCCCTATGAACAGACTTCACACTGGCATTCAGCATGCAACCAAAACTTCACAGCTCATTCAAACAAGCACACACAGGACCACACGTACTGTGGAGATCCCCAGTTAGGACGCAAAAGAAGAGCAACATACAAAGCACACACAGACACAAAGCGCCAAAACTGTGGCAACCAAACCCAGTTCAACATGTCAGCACCAAGCAAAGGTAACCAAGCTCACCAACAAACAAACCAGCAGGGCACAAACACGCAGACCATCAGTCACACAGGTGATAACTCCAAGCAGTCACACTCACAGCCTACCCTCAGCAATGCCCAACAGTTAAAGCAACAGGGTACAAACACGCAGACCATCAGTCACACAGGTGATAACTCCAAGCAGTCACACTCACAGCCTACCCTCAGCAATGCCCAACAGTTAAAGCAACAGGGTACAAACACGCAGACCATCAGTCACACAGGTGATAACTCCAAGCAGTCACACTCACAGCCTACCCTCAGCAATGCCCAACAGTTAAAGCAACAGGGTACAAACACGCAGACCATCAGTCACACAGGTGATAACTCCAAGCAGTCACACTCACAGCCTACCCTCAGCAATGCCCAACAGTTAAAGCAACAGGGTACAAACACGCAGACCATCAGTCACACAGGGCACAACATAAAAGAAAAACACTCAAAACTGACACCACTCATTTGCCAATTTTGTAGCCAAGAGTTTAAATGTAGGCAGTCGCTGTTTTCACACAAAAAAAGAAAGCACACTGAGGAATTTCAAAATACACACTCAGACACTAATAAAAACTTTTGTACAATATGTTATTACAAATGTTCACAAATACGAACATTAATACAACATTACAACATTCAACATCAGCATAACTTACAAATACTCAAACACACATTCCCATCTGAGGAAGACTTTTTTGAGTGGAGAAATAGGGTAGAAAAAGAAACATCCACCCAGTTTTATAAACCCTGTGGTTCAACCATTATTACCCGTAATACAGAAACCATTCAGTGTCAAAGGTTTTACTGTCACAGGTCTGGAATACGTTCACAGTTAGAAGTTCGCAAGCGAGCACCAAAGTCTGTAGGTCTGTGCAGAATGGGAAGAAACTGCACAGCTTACATGACTGCTCTTAAAAAAATAAACGATGGGTCCGTCACGGTGGAATACTGTTTGCAACATACTGGCCACGACTTTAAACTGGGTCATCTGAAAATATCAGCTGAAACTAGGGCACACATCGCCGGAAAATTAAATCAAGGCGTTGAGCCTAATAAGTTACTTTATAACCTCAGAGAGAGTATGACCGTTATTAACAGAGACAGTTTAATAAGACCACAAGATTTACACAACATACACAGACAATTTAATATATCCCGCACCGAAAAGCACAGAGATGACAAGACTAGCGTAGATTTATGGGTGGAGGAATTAAGTAAAGAGGACAACAATCCAATAATTTTTTTCAAACAACAGACTAATGAACATAAATTTTTGAATATTGAAGATTATTTATTAGGTATTCAAACAAAATTTCAACAACAAATGATGAAAAAACATGCGTCAAAAATTATACTCATGGACTCAACACATGGCACTACTCAATATGACTTTTACCTAACAACTATTTTAGTATTAGATGATTATCGACAGTCTATGCCCGTTGCCTGGGCAATATCTAACCGAGAAGATTCCAACATTTTAAAAATTTTCATGGAAGCTGTTTTAATTAATTGTGATCAGTCATTTGAAACTGAATTTTTTATGAGCGACCTTGCCAATAACTTTTATAATGCCTGGTGCCAAGTTTTTCCCAAACCCAAAAAAAGATTGTACTGTGATTGGCATTTAGATAAAGCTTGGAGACAAAAAGCACAAGAGATAATAAAAGATCATGAATTTGCAGAAAAGATTTATCAACATATCAAAGCATTACAACAGCTACGTGACGAATCAGAATTCCGCAAGAGCCTTCAAGGATTTTTGGCCTACATAAAACCACGTTGTCCTACATTTCATACCTATTTTGATAATACATATGTAAGTGAAGGCAAAATCTCACAATGGGCACATTGCTTCCGCATTGATTCACCAACGAATACTAACATGCATGCAGAATCGTTTCACCGTGTTTTGAAAACAAACTATTTCAACAGAAAACAAAACAGAAGAGTGGATAATTTGTTGGCCGTTCTGCTCAAAATTGCCAAAGATAAGGCAACTGCACAGTTGATTACCAAGGAAATGGGGACAGTGAGCTCCCACATGATAGAGATAAGAAAGAGACACAGAGAAGGAGAAAACATTACAGGCATAAAAAGAAATGCTGAAGAGGATGATGAAATCATTGAGTGGAGAGTTCCCTCTTCATCTGTACCTAATCAAATGTATAATGTTACACAAAATTCCGACAGACCTTGTGGCTGTAAATTAATATGTGATTTATGCTCTGTTTGTGTGCATATGTACCATTGCACTTGTGAAGATTTCCAACGCAAAAATATCATATGTAAACATATACATGCTGTTCACATGGCATTTAATAGGGACAAGCAACAAACCCCTAAAGTTGAGCAACAACATGATGAACAAGAGACTGTTGACCATCTTGAATTTTATAAAGAAGTATTATGCGAAAATAAACCAGAATCAAGTAATAATGTAGATAAGCTAGTTTCAACGGGAATGAGTATTGCAAGTGATTTAATAGATTTATTACAAGACGCAAAAAAAGATAATGATATAAACACTTTACAAACTATAGTACAACGATTGAGAGATGCTTATCAAATTGGATGTGGGACAAGACATCTTGTACTAGGGAAGACTTTTACCAAGAAAAAGACCTTTTCTTCTAACAAAAAATTCGAAACACAGCGAAGATTTTTTTCAACGAAACGAAAATCCAGAAAAATTTCTAAATTATCTTTGAAGAAACCAGATTCTCTACTTAAAGTTAAATTACATGATGAATTATCAAAAATATCTCCAGATGTGTGTGCGAAATGTTGGGAACATGACGACAAAACTGAAAGTGAAGATGTCAACTGGTTTGAATGTGCAGAGTGTAACTGTTGGATACATGTTGCTTGTGATGGTGATTGTGAGGATGGGGAAGGGGAAACAAGCTGCTCTCTTTGCAGAGCAAATCGCAGCACATAATAATAGTACTAATAATATTAATAATAATAAAAGCATTGTGCTGTGCATTTCCATTTTATAAAAAATGCTCAATGCGCATTACATCAAAAAGACAGCACATCTTGATAATTAATTGACATTGTACGTAAAACACACAGTAGCACGTAAAACACAGTATTATTATGTATATATGCATATTTTATAAAAACATTCCATGAGAAAAACAGTCTCGCAGTGAGCTTGGCAAAGCATTGACTAATAATATACAACAATGCAATAAAAATTCACAAACGGTCACAATAAAATTGAAACTTGAATAACTACATATATATTCATCAAAATATTCGTTCTCCGTAAATAGAAAGACATTTCCGTTTTCTCTCTCTCTCTCCACTCCCTCCCTCCCTCTCTCGGATTAACGAGTAAACTTCCTCTTTGGAAAGTGATTGTACAGAGTTCACGCCGTATGGATACGATAGTAAAACTCGTCGTACGGATAGGGTTAAAATATATATATCTTTTAGGACACAATGAAATGCTTCAAACATGTTTATGTTTGCCTATGTTCCAATGCGAAAACAAGCTGCCCAGAAATTGAAATGGTTTGATGCCCAAGTTTAAAGCTATGGCCAATATGTTGCAAGCAGTATTCCACTGTACTGCTCATATCCAAAACTTTTTTACGCGCAATAATGAAGGTAGTTTTTAGTACATTTATCACCTGTTTTAGAAGATCATTGTGACTTTCTGGATCCCCTACGGACCCAAACAAATCTTTGTATTCCAGACCTATGGCAATAATAATATGTGAAATGCAATGACTAGTACTTTTGGTTCGGATACTCTGGTTTGAGCATACTGTGATGATGTCTCTTTTTCAATCTCTTTTTTCCATAACAGAAAATCTTTGTCATCCCTAAATGTTTTGATACAAATAGTTATGTCTTGCAGGTGTTTGCTTTGATAATGGGCTATAAGTTCTTTAATAGTGCAGGATTTAAATTTACATTCTCAACACATTTGACACTGACATGTATAGGTGCTCCCAGTGTGTGAAACTGAAGTCTTTCGTTTGTGCTTTCTGTTTTTGTGTTTGAATAATGCTGTCTGCTTGAAAGAGTAAGACTGCATGTAGCACAGATATGTAATGTCTTCTAAGAATGATCCTGATTGGTGGTTGTTTTGAAATTGTCTTTCTTTCAGGTTGCAACTTGCAACATCCCTGAGTATTGGGAAGTTCATTGTTTTCATTACATTGAATCCCATCATTGGTATTAAAACTGTGTTGGAATGTGGCTGAATATTGTTTGCAACATAAGTTTCAGTGGTCATATTAGTGTGTACCTGTAAGGATGTTGTGTCTGAACATTTCCGACTGTATGCATATATAAAATTGCCTTGGACTTGACTTTTTGTACATGTACCACTTTGTGACTGAGTATTCAGCAGGGATTTACCAGATTGATTGTGATGGAGTCTATCTGATTGACTGTGTTTGAGAATGCCTGATTGGGTGTATTTGAATGTTTCATGTTTATTTGAATGTCTCTTTCATTGATTATATACAAATGAGATTGGCTGCCATTAGCTGTTGTGGTGATGCAAAACTGTAATGGGCCTGTTTTTGTTTTGTTTGTGATTGCTTGGCTGCTTTTCTCTTCCGCAAAAACTTTGGATTACTGCTGTATGAATGTTCACTAAGGTGTTGTTTATTTGTGTTTCCAGATTTTGCTCTCAACAATGACAAATCTATGTTGTCTGTTATGAACAAGCAAATCAACCCTCGCAGATATTTAGCATACATGTATTTTGTTGGTTCAGGCAGGAATCTTCTGTAAGTTCTCTAAAAAAAAGAATTGTCAAGTGCAGCAAACACTGCACAAATTGATGCTATCACCCCACATACATAGCAACATTTCTGTGCATGATATTTTTTACAATCAGCTGTACATTTGTGACTGTAGCCCAATGCTGGAGGGGCATGCATTAAACTAATACATGCTCCCTTCAGCATTGACAGTCCAAAATACTAAGTGTAAACAGATAATGTTGTCAACAGTACTTAACAGTTGGTCTATCGTTAAGGTCAACATTCATGACCACTCAGTGATTACCTGATTTCTTTGGTCCTGCCAGGTAAACACTGTTGTCTGGATTCTTTCACACATTGGCAATACGACCAGTTGTTCAACTTCACTGACGTTTCTGGTTTCAATGATATGACTCAGCAAATCCTCGCTTGTACTTGTTCAGGAGAGACACAGGCAAAATAATGTTTTTGAAAGTCCATTTGCTTTGTCGAGTAACCAGCTAATGTGGCTTGATAGCAGCCAACAAGCAGGGCCTTCGACACACAGATGTGTCATTTCTTCTGCTGTACTTTGTTGTCTGTAAAATGAAGTGAAAATTATTAACAAAAACAATCAATAATACAGAATACACAAAAAGATTTTCATCAAAGATACAAGGAGATTAATATTAATAGGGGGTTTCATGCTCACCAGACGAGTGACGATTTATGCGAAAATCCCAGTTTTTCCTCTTTCTCAGCTCATAACTTTATTAGTTCTTGGCCTAGCATCATAAAACCAACATGAAACGACAGGTCTATGTGTGCTTTTTGTTTCCATATATTACTTTCAATGGGGAGAGAAATGTGCAACATTATAGATTTTTGAGTTAAAACAACAAGGGTTGTTACGTGCAAATTTTGACAAATTTAGAGCATAGCGCGTTTGGGATGGTTTATTCATCAGTGGAATTTTCCATTGCTAGTTGGTGTAGCTGCTGGTCTGTTAATTGGTAATATTGCATGGTAACTTCATACTTATGGTGTCGAGGGGAGAAGCAAACATATTTCTCTCGATTGTTATGTGTGGTTGCATATTTGGTTTTGTTTAATGTTGAAAACATCTCTTGTGAGATGTTGGTCTTCTGATATTTATTATTGTTATTATTCTGCCTTTCCTGCCCTGCTTCTTCGTCGAGTGTTTTTAATAAAATAAATCAAATGTAGGTGATTTCACACCCCATTCCTGTCTGTTAGGGCCAACACGGGCTGAGAGAGATACAACCTCACAGCAGAAAGACAGATACTTAGATACTAGATAACAATTTTCTCCGCTCTAGGGATTCAACACTAGGTCGCCTGCATGCGACAGCAAAACTCTTAATTGCTACACTACAGACGCTGGTTCTCTTCCTCTGTATCCATCTGATCTTTGGTTGTATGCTCTCTGGTTTGATATCACTTTTTGCTGATTTAAAGAATGTATACTTTTGCTGAGGACTGTTGGCATTGTTCATTTTTATGGAACTTGATTCAAAATCACCATAGTCAGCTCCTTTTAAGTCATGCAGGTTTTTGTCCATGGCGACCATATTTGGTCACATCATTTTGTGTATATTTTGTAACACATTGTCTATCAAGTAGACCTTTCTGGAAATGTATGATTGTCATATGTTTTACATTTTCTTTGAATAAAGGAAAACTGTTGTTAAGTTGTCTTTCTCATGCCTCATTTTGTCACAAATTGGTGCCATTATCTATAAAAGTAAGTAATTAATTATCTGCTAAAAATGCTCTAATTGACAACAATCTTCATGCTGTATTTTTAAAAAATCTCAGGTCTTTTAGCTCTACGTAATGACTTGGTTGTTGTTGTTGTTAGCGATCCAGTAGCATCTGAGCGTTAACTCTTCTGCATTGATCTAATTAATGGTTTTCAGATTTTTCCATGAAAATAATATTCACTAGTAAATCCCTGTTTCTCTGAAATTCAGGAAGAAATGACAACTCTAAAATGTGCAACAATAATAGTTACGACACCCCCGCCTTCCTCCCCTTTTTTCTTCCTTTCGTCATCTCTTTCTGTCTCTCTTTCTTTCAATCTGTATGTCTGTCTCCCTGTCTGCCACCCACTCTCCTCCCCCCCCCACCCTCCCCTTTTTTTTCCTCTCAATCTGCCCCATACTCACTTTTGTCTGTCTGTCTGTCTGTCTGTCTGTCTGCCTGCCCCCTTCTCACCTCACTTTCTCTCACCCCCCCCCCCCCCCAATCCTCTCCGCTCCTCCCCCCCCCCTCCTTCTTCCTCTCTCTTGCTCATTCCTTTTTTGTCCCATCTTCTTTTCTTTCTCATTCTTCTTTCTGCTTCAATCTTCTATCTTAATCTGTGAACAAGAATTCCTCTACACATTACGGATGCATCACTGAGCACTGTTCAATAGCTGGCCTTGAAAGGTACCAAGCAAAGGTACCAGAACGGAACTATGGAAGTAAGTTGGCAAATGAAGTAAAAGCATGTGAAAGCTTAGATTTGTAGTAAAATACATCAAACCTGAAAAATCAAAAGGAAGTTTCCGAACTTTAAGAATATGACCACAAACAGGCTTAGCTCCATTATAATAAGATTATAATAAGTAAGCCTATATATATATACACATAATCATGATAATATGATGTACCGTACTAAGCTAAAGTAATGCCAACAAGGACCAACAAACTTTATAAGAAAATGGAAGACATGAAATTCATTATAATGATGATAATGATGAAGGTGATGATGATGAATAGTCATAATTACCATATTGTGGGATTATGTCTCGTCGGATGACATATCAATACAGGAATTATACAGAACACCACTCGGCTTCAGATAGGAGAAAAGGAAAGCACCTGCTCCTGTTTGCACTTTTCAGGCATTTCTGTTGTATGTGTAGGTGATCTACCTGTGGTTAAATTTAAAATGAATTACTATAGTATTAGAAGTAACAGCATATTATTATACTGGAAGTATCTGCTCAACATTATAATATATTCAACTTCAAGTATGTATTATTTATAATTGTGCTAGACTAGGTTTCCAGGAACAGCATATGGATGGATAATGGATGAGAGATGACGCAGAAAATCTGTTCGCAATATCTCCTTTTCTGAATGATAGATATCTCTATATATTTTTAAAAAAATAACCAACATTATCTTCATGGATGAAGAAAATAATCTAGATTCTAGATCTAGATATCTAGAATCTAGATCTAATCTAGATCGAGGAGATTAAAGTGTAATTGTGCTGCAAAACTTTTATTGGTATCCAAATTAAATAATAGATTCTTAAGCTAGATCTAGATCTAGATATATATATATATATATATATATTATATAGAGATTTAGGGCGTTTCAAACAATACTAAATCAAGAATCTAGATCTAGATCTAGATCTAGATATAGATCTAGATTTCTAGATATCTAGATCTAGATATTTAGACTAGATTCTAGATCTAGATATAGATCTAGATCTAGAGATATATATAGAAATCTAGCTAGATACGAGAGTGAAGTCTAAATCTAGAACAAGGAATAGACAGCAATAACACTCACCTCTAAGCCTAGAATGCTGCTGATTCTCATTTTTCAGCATTACTTGGTGCTTGAATAGCCTCTTTAATACGGTAGATCAAAGAATGAACTCAATAGACGCCTTGAACCGGAAAATTAGGAAGCTCAAACCCGTCAATGTCTCGATGAAGGAAATTGTTGACATTCGTGCGGTGTCAATACTGGAATTCCTAAATGTTATTAACGAACCGGAAATACGTCATTCTATGCGGTACCTCCATGGCCTTCTTAAAAATAGAAATCTAAACTTCCGGTATCCCAGATGGATACCATCCCAGATGACATCATGTTACTAAAATTAGATGCGTCATTTCTAATTTTAATCGCATGTATATTCGTAGGCCTACCCAATATTCTTTACAGAGACTTTTTTGTTAACGAAGTGACTATTTCTCCTAACACTCGGGCGGGAAAATAAAGTTGAACTCTATTTCCCCTAACGGTTTCTGAGCTCGAGATTGTTGGTTATTTGCGAGATTTAGGCGTTATCTTTTCATTCTGTGAGGACTGGGAGGCCTAGGCCACCCAGCAGAGTTGCGAGCAAATAACAATAGTGGACCACGTGATAAGATTGACCAATTATTAGCCTCAAGATGTCAGGGTCATGGGTCAAAGGGCACGGTGGCACGGTCGTGATGACTGAAAAACCCGGTAAGAGACGTCAGTTGAAGAGTGAGGATGTAGAAAACTGAGTAGGGGAGCTCGGAAACGAAGAATAGCGGGCCACTAGGCACCAGGGGTGCCATAGCGAAAGTAGTTCCGACCGATGGTCCGGTAAAGTACAATCTTACCGAGAGATTTTTTAATGTCTGAATATTCAAATACTTCAGTTGTGGTTAGGGTAACATTCCCGGACTATACTTCATTTGAAAATACCCTCAAAAGACACTGTGAGAAAACAAGACTGCTCGACCTTGGCAGTAACCTATTTTACATTTAGATCTAGTCACCAAGTAAAAACTAAAATCTTTCATGTAAAAAAAAATCCCCCCCCCCCTTCACACCTTACACACACACACACACACATGCCACTCCATTCGCTTATTATCAACAAATTTCGGAAACCGTTCGGAGAAATAAAGTTCAAGTTTATTTTCCCGAACGTTTGGAGAAATAGAGCCGGCGTTTTGTTAATTACGCTAATATTTTTGCCCCCAAAACCTAGGGCCTACCTGTTTCAAGACTGGTTAACACCGTTAAAATGAATTTAATTGAAAAGCCAATGAAGTGAAGCAGTGACGGAGAAGAGGCCACTGCTGTAGGTTATAGATCTAGGCCTAAGTAAGATATTCTAATTTCAAATTTGTATGCTCTTTCTAGAATTCTTTTTAAATTGATGTGTCTGTTCCTAGCATTTTACTTCAACCTCTAATGTCCTTGTCTCATCTGTTCTGTTTACTGTTTATTCTGAAAGGGATTTTGTCTTGTCTTCTTTCATCTTGCTGTCCTGATATCATTGATGTGCAACATTTCAGTGGTTGGAAACATTCCCTTCAAGTTACGTCAAGTATGACTATGGCTATAGTACAATAATATAGGCTACCTTTTGCTTAATTTTACTTATAAAAATCACCTTTGTTATGGCTTCAAATTGGGTATGGGTTTCTTTAGATTAATTGCTTAACTTCTGTTGCCATATATATATATCTAAATCTAACAGGTATCGGTCATTTCGTCACACGGTCATCTTGTCACTCCCCAATTATGTGTGACGAAATGACTTCGCTTATATTATCTCTCCAAAATTGTTGTGCTAGATCTAGTAGAGGTTTGGAGGATCAGCCTAAAGCAGCCATACATTTCTATTAGTTAATTTATTTTAAACAGAACTAATATGATCTTACCAATCACACATTTCATCAATAATCATACCTAAAAACTTTGTTGATCTGACTCGGTAGATTCCAATATTGCCAATACATTTTATAAACGATGTAGCTGATCAGGTAGACTCAAACAGCCCCAACCTTCCCTCAAAAATCGGGATTTGGGATTGCTGTGACAATACGCGTTTGATGTTTGCACGTGTGCTACGAAATGACCGTCTCCATTCAACCATGTGGATTTGGTGTGTCATGGGATGACTGTGACGACTTGACTGCACCGGTGTGACGAAATGACTGGTATTCATCTCACAAGTGATGTTGAAAATCTATGACTAAAATTTCAGTGTTTATATTGAAAGGGCAGTTGTCAAAAGTTTTTAATTAAAATTTTTGTTTCAGGTTTATCAAAATGCTCTTGCTGCAGGATGTGTTTCAGCAAGGCATCTGTCTTTGACCACTCCATCTTTGGCTGCTGGTAAGTGTTTTCTAGTTTTTGTTTTCATTTTACAGTGGGTGTCGCATTCAACGAGGTTGCCAGGACCGGCTTGTTGTCCTCGTTGGGTCCGACCTCTCGTTGAACGTGACTAAGGCTAAAGAACAAAAACGAGACAAGTTTTTATATTACACGATGTACCAATACCAGTAATTAAAACAGTTGTTCCCCCTGATGGCGAAAATCTCAAACAGCATCAGTGTGTGCATGTTTGAGCTGTGTTCTGACCGTCAATTCTGCATTTTTAAATATATTTTTTTCCGGAACACTTCTCGTGTGGAAACATACCCTCTCACATCTAGGCCTAGATCTACATAAAGTAAAGGCGGGAGCTTGGATTATCTGATCGGGGGGAAAAAAGAAAATTGAAAAAAATGGTCTCGATCTAGACCTACCCATCCAGAGTTCATCCAGTTTCACACATCCTGCACCACGTTCCTACCCACCCCCTTCCATCCCTACCGTTGGTTAACCCTCGCCCATCCTCTTGGCTTTGGGGCCCATATTAGGAGGCACACTAGATCTAGCAATACAATGTCTTAGGAATCGAGGATGGGCCTTGTGCTTCGAGTGAGATGGAGAGAAAGGAGAAAAAATCTTCACTTTTGGGGCCGCTAATTGTTTTTATTTGGTAATCGTGACCTTGTTGAAAGCGACTTTGGTAATTTTGCAACCTAGTTGGAGCCGATGTACATTTACAAAGAGATATAGAGGGGAAAATTGGGGATTAAGGATTGCCTCGTTGGAACCGACTTGTCGTTGAATGTTACCTCGCTGAATGCGGCACCCACTGTAATAGCTTGGTCCTCAAAATAAATGAATGAATGTTATAGGCCTGTTGTGTTGTTTAGAGCTATTTTGATGATATATTAAGAGCTTTTTGTTTTTTTTTAAATTCTTATTGGGATGACTTTGTTAGTAAGGAAGAAAGTAATTTATTGCTGTTTGAAAGACCCTTTGCTTTTAGTTGTTAATGTTGGTACAGTACTACCTTTTTTATCCCTCTTGGGTTTTTTTATAGAGTAAGTGGTGGCATTAACTCCAGTGTCAGTTCTATTGACAGTATTTCTAGTAGTATCGACACAAACTTGATTCAGTTTGTATCATGGTGGATATTGTTTAGTGTTAAAATGAATTGCTGGTTAAGTGTACATTCGTCTTGTGGTGGAGTTGTAGGGGGAAAAAATTAATATTTGCTCCGTGATCTTGTCAACAGGCCCAAGTGGAGCTGAAGTTTCTTCCATTTTGGAGGATAGGATCCTTGGTCAGACTTCCCAGGTAAACCTTGAAGAGACTGGAAAAGTGCTGTCCATTGGTGATGGTATTGCACGTGTCTATGGCCTCAAGAACATTCAAGCTGAGGAGATGGTGGAATTCTCCAGTGGGCTGAAGGTCAGTTTGTGTGGTATAGGAACAATGCTATAATCAACGTTCTCCCTTATTGTATGTTTCCTTGGGTTTTTTTCCCAAATTTTATGTTCACTGGGTAGCATAATAAAACACAGGAAGACATACTGTCGAACCTGTGTAAGAGGGAGCCAGGGGGAAAATCTGTCTTAGACGGGGGAATTTAGGGGTTGATTTGGGGGGGGGGGGGGGGTCAAAGGCCCAGCCGGTCGGATCAAGGATGGCTTGTCCTTTCGGCGAGCGGCGGTCAAAACTTCACACCTCTCAATTGCTATCCTGTCTGATAATTACATGCGTCAGTCTTACTTATCCAATTACCACCAGTGCTTGCCTTTCATAGGACCACTGTTTGACCTATTAAAAAAGTTTGAACATCTCCTTTGCTTCCACCTTTAGTCCCACCCACCAATGCCACCCCTCACTGCTATCATTGTAACGATTCGAGGAACTCTCGGCTGGCCGTACGATCAGGGCGGCAGGCACTGGTCAATCTAATTTCGCACCTCTGGCTTCTGCACCCAGGAAAGTTGCCGTATTGGCTTGCTACTCGGGCACTCTCACAGGCAATTGTGAGATTTCACACCCACACTACACTGACCATCTGCATCGCCCAGGGCTCACATGATGGGGTAACCTCTACCCCTAAATTGCACCTCCACTCCCCATCCTTGCCCAGCGGCTTGGTCATAGCGTTAAGTTTAGAGACGGCGAGTTTTGTTTCAAATCAGGGCTGAGCAGGCAAAGCATTTTCCGTCTTAGACTGGTGAAACCCTCGGAAGGGAGCGGATTTTTCTTTCCGTTTCCACGTTGGACAGGTTTCTGTTTTATACAGGTAATTAAAGAGGAATATATCAAGCGGGGAGATTCCGTTAAGAGAAGACCTGGGTCGGCGATCCCTGGCAATATCGATAACATTTTTCAAACTATCCAACTTTTGTTTTTTGCGATAAAACATCCTTTGACATCTGTTCTATCGGGTCACAATGAAGAAACTGTTGAAAAAACACCCTAAATGACCTGAAAGGGCGTTTGAAAAGTGCAAATTGGTCTAAAAATCCTTTTAAAAATCCCTGTTTTTTTCTGTTTTTCTCAAAATCTACTTTTTGACATATGTGACCTCCTGGATGCAAGGAGTTTTCCAAAACTACTGAAGCTAGAAGCTTCAAATTTGGTGTACAGGTGCTTTAAGATCGATTCTGGGGATCTATGTGAGGGAATTGAGAAATATTGGTAACTTGAGGAAATATTCAAATTTTTTGTAATGTATACCCCAAAATTTCGTCAACTTACTCAAGGAGGTCCAATGACTTTGGGCTCACTTTTTTAGTTTTAAAGATATCTCAAAATCCTCACATCGACCCCCAGTTCATATAGGTATGTACCTGTGTGCCACATTTCAGGCTGATAATTCAGTATTTACTATGAAATTCTTCTGCACTAAGAAACTAGTTTGAAAATCCAAGATGGCCGCCACAGAGGATGAGAAAGCTGAATTAAAGTAATTCGTTTAGAAAATTTTCCGGGAGTGTCCGTCTCTCCTTAAGGCAGGTTCGACTGTACATTGAAAGTTGAAATAGTTTTTGACTGCTCTTTGTTTTGTGTTTTATTTTGTTCTGTGTTCCCCCCCCCCCCCCCCCCCCCCCCCCTTCTGTAGTTGCAGTGCTGCTTTTGCTGAAAGAGTTATATCTTAACCGGATAAATAGAAGGAAACTGCTGTTAGAGGAAAGATATTACTTATAAATGACATATTCAGCTTTGTTACAATGAATTTAGATGTGGTTGGTGGTTGGAGATTACATTTTTTTATTTTAATGAAAATTACTTTAAAGTCTTTTATACAATTTAGTTTTGAAATTTGGCAGCTTTCACAAATCTGCCTGCCCAACACAATCCAAAATTGCAATGCTTCTTTAAACTTCCACAGACCCTCTGCATGATTTTTTTGGTGTTACTTCTACAAAATGGTCATTAAAGAGACATTATAAACAAGATGGTGTTGTTTTCTTGTGTTATTTTCATGTTTTTGTTGATTTTAGTGTCATGAACGTGACAATTGAGACACACGAAAGTTCCCTAAAAATAGCATGCACATGGCTAATCTCTAAATAAAAGTCAAAAGAGGTGGTAGTTGTAATTTTTTGCGATGGAAAGTCAAATAAGTAAATGTTTTGACAAGTAAAACTAAATTCCAGACGAAAAGTGAAAAAATTGTTCATAATTTCAAAACAAATGTTTAGTGCATTTTTAAAGGTCACGTGGGTCTCCAAACGTGAGGTGACAACAACCCTCATCAAAGTACAGCAATTTTGCGTATCAACTGTTTTTTTGTGTGAATGTTATGGAAATAAGCCTAAAATTGATAAGAAAGGGTCAATTTGTGATGAGCAACAAAAATAACGCGTTTTGGTTAAAAAATCGAGAGCCCGGGTCATGTGCGTCTCGATTGTGTCACACCGTAGCGCGCGCATTCCAAAGATCGTTCTTTTGTTTCACTGACCGTGGTGCGATCAATATCGGGATAAAAAATTCCTCAGACGTCAAGGAATTGAGGTAAGCATGTCTTTTTTGTCAACGGCAGTTAGTTTTTCCGTACGCGATTGATTTGTTTTGTGGGTCTCACATCGTTCGTGATGTTTGTTCGTTCGCCTAGGTCTAATTTCGGAAAAAAGCACGCTGATCGCCTTTAAAATCCACATTAGCTGTCTATAATCGTCGTCAGCGCAATCAACAGTCATCTCTGAACACTAAAATTACAAATTTGTTTGAATTTTCAAATTTAGCTTTGGGTTATTAGGCCTAGAATCGACAAACCCAACGATAGCGTCTGTGACTGTTACGATCACACCGATAGAGACGACGCGCGGTGAACGAACAAACAACTGCGTCGTTCGGAAGTGAACGAACGGCACAATGCTGACCCGTTTTGTGAACGAACATACTACTTTGACATCCGATAATGAAGGAAGGGGACACTATGAACGCGATTTGTGAACGAACGCGGGTTTGGGGACGACTTGCGATCATAGAGTGAAGAGAACATATGTTTAGCTATTAAATTTACGTGGATCTAGATCTAGATCTAATCTAGATCTCTAGATTCTAGTGTATTTCTTGTTTGTTTGTTTTTTTCACTCTTTTTCCGTCTTTCTTTTCTTTTTCTTTCTTTTTTTTTCTTCTTGTTTTTCCCTTCTTTTTTTTCTCTCTAGCTTTTTCTTTCTTTCTCTTTTTGTAGTTGTTTTAATTTTGTTTTATTCTTCTTTAATACAAGATGTGATCAAGACTCTAGATCTAGATCCAGGTGTGGAATACTAAGAGAAGAACCAAATTTTGTACTAATTAGTGATCAAATAATAAACCTTAGAGCTAGACTCAAGTGGGCAACAGCTAGATTTGAAAATAATATTTGCATCAATTTTTTTTTTTAAAGGTTTTTTTTCCTTTTTCCAACTAGATCTAGATTCTAGATCTAGATTTACATGAAATGCAGGTCTTTGACAAATCTTGACAATGTAGATCTAGGCCCTATTTTACTTTTTTAATATCAAGACTTTTTTGTCAGAATGGTGGAATGAATGGCTCATTATCGGTGTAAAATGAAGGAAGAGGAGCCAAAAAAGTACACAGATTACTAAGAAAAAAGCAAAAAGAGGCTGGCAAGGGGAAGAGCCTCTTACCAGTTGTAACTTGAAGCTTAAGGGAGTAAAACCGATTAATATTCCCGTTGTTTTTTCTCCTGCATTGTACCGGTACATGATATAGAAAGGCAACTTTTTCGTAACAGGTTAAGTAAATAATAAATTATATTATAATAGCTCTCAACTTTAAATAATAAATGATATTATAATAGCTCTCAACTTTAAATAATAAATGATATTATAATAGCTCTCAACTTCAACCCCGATTAAAGTAGCTTACTGTACAGGCTCTGAGCGTTTTACAATACAATACTGTATACAACAGTTACAGCAAAAAAGCAAATCACGCTCCTCCCAATCGTGTGCTACTGGAAAGATCAGAGTGGGCAGCTCTTTCAGACTTGTAAACGTGAGATTGCGGGTTCGGGGGTTCGAGCCTCAGCTCAGCCCGACGTGTCCTTTGGAAAACACTTTACACGTTCCCACTAGGCTCGGTCCTTTCGGAGATGGACGTTAAACTCTGAGGTTCCGCCTCTTAAATAACCTGACAGTGTTGACAGGGGTGTTAAACCTAATATCATTTAACCATTTTATACATTTTCATATTTGTCGACTGTGTATGCACATTTACTAGACATGACATAACATACAATATATTGCATTGTTGTGATGATAATAATAATAGTATAATGTAGCCTCTAACAGTTGTAATAATACTGATATCTTTTCCAAATAATTCTATCTCTCTGTCATTTGCAGGTAGTGGCTCCTGACTTGACCAGAAGACATATATGAGGACATTGAAGTCCAGTACATGCACCAAAGAACACAGATTCCACTTATTATACGCTTGACACAGACGACACGTACATTATAAACATACTAGACTTTAAATGTCAACTCAGTTTCAGTCTTACCCCCTCCAGAAATCACAGCAAGAGGACATTATTTATTTTACTATGATTTTTTTCCTCATTTTATCTTATTAAAAAAGTAATTTGTATGGAGCCCATAGATAAATGCTACGTACTGTACTTTAATTCTTGTGTGAAGGGGTGGGGTTGGGAGAAGGGTGAAGAGTATTGTTTATTTTGTTTATTTACTCACAAATGCAGCTTCTCTGTACTCAAAAGTATTCAATCTAACTCTCACAACTTTTACACTTGATTACACCCAGAACATTTAGAAATACTGGGAGTTGAAATACAAACATTTTCAACTAAAATCATAAGGGGAGACAACAAAATATATTTTTAACACAAGGGACACAACCCGTATTTTTTTTCTTTCTTAAGAATAAATCAAATAAAAAGGTCACAATTGTTGTTGGTATTCATTCATGTTTTTAAGCTGTATCAAGATAGGCATAACTATTGTTATAGCAAGTTGTTTTTCGTTTATATGCAAAATTCTATTTATGTCATGCAATACAATTTCTCATATTATAACATGGATTACCATAAAGGAATGAAAATGGGTGTCTGAATGGAATTTTTTACTGGTATTTTCACCTCGATTTTCTCTTTTAATATGGGTCTGCTGTCCCTGTGATTGAGTTATTCTTATTCTACAAAAAATAAGCTTTCCATACATATGCAATATGTCCACTTTTATTGGCCTCTAAAATTGGGGCTGTTGGGGAACTTTCAGGCCTCTGATTTGTGAAAGCTGCCATTTCTGCCTTTGTCACATTTTATTAATTTTGGGAAAAGGAAGTGGGATTTGTCTGTACTGGCTCTCAAACTCTATTTACTTTTAAAACCTTCAAAATCTTTAGTATTGTATGCAGTGTGAACTTAGTTTAAGGAGTGGTAGTTTTTAAAAAGCTGATTGTGGATTCTATTTTTAGTTCAATATTTGGCTTACTTCTTTCTTTTCTGTTCATCAGTGGAGAATTAGTTATTGTTCAGTTTCTATTAAGTTTTACATCTGACTTACTTTTTTTATTTCAGGGTATGGCCTTGAACTTGGAACCTGACAATGTGGGCGTTGTCGTTTTCGGTAATGACAAGTTGATCAAGGAGGGAGATGTTGTGAAGAGGACTGGTGCTATTGTGGATGTGCCAGTGGGCATGGAACTGCTCGGCAGAGTTGTTGATGCTCTTGGAAATACCATTGATGGAAAGGTATTGTATATATTTGTTATTTATGTTTTTTAACTTGTGCTTTCACGTAGCTGGAGTATCTACCATGGTCAATACTTCTCTTCCTCCTTTGGTGTTTAAAGACGATCATGAGTTTATGATGAATGAACTTTTGTTATTATTAGACAGCTTTTATGCTTACATATGTACCAGTACTCATTAACTTGCATTTATCTTCACCTGATTTTTTACCAAACTCTTTCCATAGAAATTTACAAAATTCTATTCAGACATAAAATCTGGAAATATTTGAAAAAACTTGTTGGAGAGATAGATCTTTCCAAAATAAGGCACCTTACTTATTTTATGCATTGATTAGCTCGTAAAATACCCAACTTCACTAGAATATCATCTGAGAAGAAGGGTTAGCCTGTAAATTATCCTAATAAAAGATAGACTCAGTTATCCAAGGAGAACTGCAGTTAGTATATATGCAGGGATGCCATTTTCCCGTTATTTTGGGCATCGTTTGTTTTTAAATACATTTTCCATTCATCGGATCCGTTCTTCGTTAACAACGCAAAAATGGTTGAGCGGGAAGCCGATTTTCCGTTTTGTTCCATATACGGACGGTGTGGCACGAGGATCCAAAGTTTTAATTAACGGAAATACACTCGCTGAATCAAAATGCGCATGATCAAATGGGTGTTTAGGTCTGGTTTCAAATGTAGCCTTGCGCACTGTCTCACGCTGGCGAGATATTTAGATCTAGATCTGTGGCTGCCGAAGATGATCAATTTCTCATCGGGATTTGGTGTGAGTTAATTATGAGAAATTCAAAGGAAGAAATTCATCTAGTCTCGAAAAAAAAAAAGGTTATTTTTACAAAAGTCCAGTATCATCCCTGCATATAGTCCAAAGCTACACGTACTCTCCTACCCATCTCTCCTGTAATATTCCCTTTTTTGACATATTGTTTTTACATGTTAAAAAGTTGTGTGTGTGTAACAAGATCACTGACAAGGGTTTTGGAATCATTTTACTGGGATTTGGACTGTGTTTTATAGATAACTGTCTTTCCCCTTGTCAAGAGAATGGCACTTTCATAGAGGTCACAGTAATTTGTTTTATTTATTCAACAAGGTGCATTAAAAAATTTTGTGAAAGTGAAAATTAACCCTCTTTTTAAAAATCTCTTAAGGGCCCAATCAGTTCTTCTGTAAGAGCCCGTGTGGGTGTGAAAGCCCCAGGAATCATTCCCAGAACATCTGTGAAGGAGCCTATGCAGACAGGAATCAAGGCTGTGGACAGTCTTGTGCCTATTGGTCGTGGTCAGCGTGAGCTGATCATTGGTGACAGGCAGACTGGGTAGGTTTTTAATATAAATGTGTATTTGTTGCCTGGGAGAGGATTACCTTTTGAGTTTACCAACATATTTCTAATCTCTTTCTATGCGCATTCTGTTAAATAGTATTAAGGTAAGTTGAAGGATAGGTCATTTCTGCTCTGTATTTTGGGCTTCTGGGGCATTATAAATTTTTGCCCACCATACACTCAGACACACACTCAAAAATTGTCCTGCCTATGTCAATGTTGTCAAAGGAGATTTGTTTTGACCACAACAGGTCGCGACTTCAGTGCTTTCTTGTATTTTCATTTTTTATAACTGAAAAGAGTGAGCTTTAAAAGATATCACATTTTCACAGAGGAGATACAACAAGGAAACAGAGAGATTGCGAGGTGGTATGACATGGCAAGTTTATAGAATTGCCAGCAAAGGGGCTGTAATTTATTCAAAGGATAAGCTTTTACTTGAGATTTACCGATGCATAGTATTGCAAAAATGTTGTGAGACTTCAGAACGTTCATGTTATTCTCCAGAAAAACCGCCATTGCCATTGACACCATCATCAACCAGAAGCGCTTCAATGACGCCGGAGACGATAAGGCCAAGCTGTACTGCATCTACGTTGCTATTGGACAGAAGCGTTCCACTGTTGCTCAGTTGGTGAAGCGTCTTACAGATGCTGGTCAGTAGTTATGAATATTCCATTGTCATCTGTATGAAATAAGCAGTTTGTTTGTTTTTGTAAAGTTTTTTACGGCGCTCGGAACTGCATAAGGTCATATGAGCGCGCGGGACACACCTAATATTTTCAGTTGGTAGGAAATTTTGAATTTTGCCCGGGTGGCGGCCGAAGCCTACTCTTATCGATTTTAGACCGCCAAGGGATATTTAACGTGTGCAACTTGCACACGGACCCTCCGAGATTTTTCGCCCTTGTCCGAGAAGGCTAGGTGTAGATCTTTTCTACCAGAAGATCAGGGGTGTGGCAGAAAGACAGCAGTAAGGAGGAGCCAAGGAGTAACAGTAGAAAGGCTGCATAAAGAGTAAGGAGCCGAGAGGAGGGGGCAAAGGAGGTGAGAGGGGGTGGGGGCAAAAAGTGGAAATGAAAGCAGAAAACTGAGCATTGCTAGAGAGCAGGAAAGGAGGTGAAAGGAGACAATTTTAGAGAGGAACATTTTTTGGTCGCTACCGGATTCGAACCCGGGACCTTTGAATGAGAGGCCAACACCTTAACCTCTAGGCCACGAGAGAGCCCCCCCCCTCCATAAGGTTGTTTTTAGGCTTATGCGCAAAATTTTGTTTGTTATCACTTTATCATTATTATCTTTGCAGTTTCTCTGTAGGAATTTTAAAAACAAATGTTGCTATGAGTGCATCTAGCCAATAAGTAAGATTTGATTACAAGCTGAAATTTCCCCAAATTTTACTTGTATTTTTAAATGTTTCTTCAGATGCCATGAAGTACAGCATTGTTGTGTCAGCTACAGCTTCTGATGCTGCCCCTCTGCAGTATCTGGCTCCGTACTCTGGATGTGCTATGGGCGAGTACTTCCGTGACAATGGCATGCACGCTCTCATCATTTACGATGACTTGTCCAAACAGGTAAAAATTGGTGTCAAGTTTGTTTTGTCCACTGGTTATAAAATATTTACTATGAAATATGTGAGGCAATTGGTTGGTAATAGGTTGGTATGTATGGTTTGGATTTGAAAAAACTAGGGGAAACTGAGCTGCATTGTCATTTCTTATTAGCTGAATGTTTTCTGGGCACAATGGTTTGACATTGAGCTGGACACTGTCTCCCGGAGAAATTGGCAAAATGGAAAGGTGGTCTAGGGAGGACGTATGGATATCATCTTTTGGCAAAGAGGATGAAAAACCAAATCACAGCCTGTAACAAATGGGGGGGGAGGGGGGTGTTGTACAGTCGAACCTGTGTAAGACAGAATCGCAAGGAGCCAGGAAAAAATTCTGTCTTAGACAGGTTAATTTAGAGGGGGGGGAGGGGGATTCAAAAACTCAGCCGGTGGAATCAAGGGTCGCTAGTCCTATCTTCAAGCAGTGGTCAAAGCTTCACACCTCTCAATTGCTATCCTGTCTGATAAGGACATGCGTCCGTCTTACTTATCCATTTACCACCTGTGCTTGCCTTTTATAAGACCACTGTTTGACCAATTACGTATGAACAGCTCCTTTGCTTCCACCCTTAACCCCACCCACCGGTGTAAAAAGCAGTCAGTCAATGCCTGATACCCTCACTGCCATCATGTACCCAATGATTCTAGGAACTCTTTTCTCGGTTGGCTGTACGATCAGGGCGGCCGGCATTGGTCAATCTAATTTCACACCTCTGGTTTTGGCTACCCAAGAAGTTTCCGTAGTGACTCACTGCTCGAGCACTTTCCCAGGCAGTCATCAGATTTCACACCCACACTACCAGGACCATCTGCATCGCTCGGGGCTCACATAATGGGGCGACATCTGCCCCCAAATTGCACCTCTACTCCCTTTCCTCGCCCAGCTGCATGGCCATGGCATTAAGTTTAGAGCCGGCTGAACCAAACTTGCGAGTTTTGCTTCAAATCAGGGCTGAGCGGGCAAAGCATTTTCAGTCTTAGACTGGTGAAACCCTCGGAAGGGAGCGGATTTTTCTTTACGTTTCTGCGTTGGACAGGTTTCTGTTTTATACAGGTAATTAAAGAAGAATATATTGAGGGGGGTGCCGGATGATTCCGTTAAGGCAGGTTCTATTATATTTGTAATTTTACGTAAGGATTTGTTATTCTTTTTGTTCTAGGCTGTGGCCTACCGTCAGATGTCTCTGCTGCTGCGTCGTCCCCCAGGACGTGAGGCCTACCCAGGTGATGTGTTCTATCTCCACTCCCGTCTGTTGGAAAGAGCTGCCAAGATGAACGAACATCATGGTGGCGGCTCCCTCACTGCCCTGCCCGTCATTGAGACTCAGGCTGGTGACGTGTCTGCTTACATCCCCACCAACGTCATTTCCATTACTGACGGACAGATCTTTTTGGAAACTGAATTGTTCTTCAAGGGTATCCGCCCTGCCATCAACGTCGGTTTGTCTGTCAGCCGTGTCGGCTCTGCTGCCCAGACCAGATCCATGAAGCAGGTACCTAGTAGAGGAGAGCATTTCTCTATTGATGTAACGTCGGTGCATTTTGTTCTTCCGTCAGTTTTGCAAGCACCCTAAAGGATTTATCGATTCATTTATCCTTTAGTTTTTTTGGTCGCATGCAATATAGGCTTTTTCATTGTGCTCCACATAGAATGGTTGCAAAAACATTCTTCATAGAACAGAATGTGGTTAAATGTCACTTGATCAAATTATTTAAATGCTGAAATTGGCATCAGTCATTGGGGGAGGGGGGGGGATTCTTTTGATTCAACCAGTCCAATAAATGACTAAAGCTTATGTGTATCAGGGTGAAGTCTGTTGTATTTTAAGTTGTAGGTTTTTTTTGTTGTTGCCCCTAAACCCATTGTGAATGTCCTTCCTGTTTCTGTGGGCTTTTCTGTTTTAAGCGTTCCTTTGTATTGAATCCATTTGTTTGATACATATAATATATGATTTATTTGGCTTTTTCGTGCAATGGAGCAGAAATGTTTGACAAAATCTACTTAATTTCAGGTGGCTGGCTCCATGAAGTTGGAATTGGCTCAGTATCGTGAGGTGGCTGCCTTCGCTCAGTTCGGTTCAGATTTGGACCAGGCTACACAGAACCTCCTGAGGAGAGGTGTCAGATTGACTGAGATCTTGAAACAGGGACAATATGGTAATTATTTCTTTTTGCTGATTGATT